GTCCATCTGCACTGTGAAGCGGCGTCCAATGAGTTCTGAATCATTTGGCTGAATATGAGCAGATAATATTGCCTGAAACACTTCAGAATTCATCCTGCTGCTTTTATCAGCAGTCACATCATCAATAAATACAAGAGAACCAGTTCCATTGGCAGCCATACATGCCCACGCCATGACACTACCACCACCATGCTTCACTGATGAGGTGGTATGCTTAGGATCATGAGCAGTTCCTTTCCTTCTCCATACTCTTCTCTTCCCATCACTCTGGTACAAGTTGATCTCGGTCTCATCTGTCCATAGGATGTTGTTCCAGAGCTGTGAAGGCTTTTTTAGATGTCGTTTGGCAAACTCTAATCTGGCCTTCCTGTTTTTGAGGCTCACCAATGGTTTACATCTTGTGGTGAACCCTCTGTATTCACTCTGGTGAAGTCTTCTCTTGATTGTTGACTTTGACACACATACACCTACCTCCTGGAGAGTGTTCTTGATCTGGCCAACTGTTGTGAAGGATGTTTTCTTTACCAGGGAAAGAATTCTTCGGTCATCCACCACAGTTGTTTTTCGTGGTCTTCCGGGTCTTTTGGTGTTGCTGAGCTCACCGGTGCGTTCCTTCTTTTTAAGAATGTTCCAAACTGTTGTTTTGGCCACGCCTAATGTTTTTGTTATCTCTCTGATGGGTTTGTTTTGTTTTTTCAGCCTAATGATGGCTTGCTTCGCTGATAGTGCCAGCTCTTTGGATCTCATCTTGAGAGTTGACAGCAACAGATTCCAAATGCAAATAGCACACTTGAAATGAACTCTGGACCTTTTATCTGCTCATTGTAATTGGGATAATGAGGGAATAACACACACCTGGCCATGGAACAGCTGAGAAGCCAATTGTCCCATTACTTTTGGTCCCTTAACAAGTGGGAGGCACATATGCAAACTGTTGTAATTCCTACACCGTTCACCTGATTTGGATGTAAATACCCTCAAATTAAAGCTGACAGTCTGCAGTTAAAGCACATCTTGTTCATTTCATTTCAAATCCATTGTGGTGGTGTATAGAGCCAAAAATTTTAGAATTGTGTCGATGTCCCAATATTTATGGACCTGACTGTATATTAAACAAACTCCATTAAAGAGATGGCAGAAGCCTGGTTGTTGTGGATAATACTGTCAGGCTTATTTTATTAAGGAGCACAGCTTTTCTTCTTAACCTATATAGCATTGGTTGTGACTATCATCTTTTTTTAGCTGCATTTTTATAAACATCTCCTGGTATACCATTAAAGTGATATTAAAGGCAATTTTATTTGAAAATAAACATGTTATACTTACCTGGTTTTGCACAGAGCATCCCCGATCCTCCTCCTCTCGGGTCCCCCGCCGGCGCTCCTGGCCCCTCCCTCCTGTCGAGTGCCCCCAAAGCAAGCAGCTTGATAAAGGGCACCTAAGATCTTAAAGGCATATTTGCCATTTTTTGCTGATGACTTCTTTCTGAATATTTGTATCCAAAATTTTTTATTTATTATAGGTAAATGACCCGGAAGTGATTCCCCCTCTTTTTTCCTTGGTAAATCCCTTGTGTTTTGAGCCAAGTTATTGTCACCTTTCCAGTTCTTTTCAGTAACTGGACTTGGCAATACAAACAGTAAGTGATGTTCTGGTATATCATGATTTTTTACATTACTTACATTTGCACGTGATATTATTTATTCCAGCACGGCACTGTCCTGTTTGTATCTGTGTGCAAACCGCTGCAGGTTCGCCATTGGTTTGTTTGGGAGGGACCTCTCCAGGAGACGTTTGGGCAGTTTCTCTTATCTCTTTTCCTTGCACTATATTATTATCTATGTCGTGAGGGGCTTGTGAATACTCTCTAGTGCATCATGAGAATTTACACTTTTGAGTTTGGGATGGTCCACGTGTGCTTTTTCTGCCTCTACATGGCGCTATTTAAGTGTTCTATCATACTTTAATCGTTTGGAAAAAAAATCCTTATGAACAAAGATGTATATTGATATGTATGTTTGTTACAGATGTCATGCCTCTTTGAGCACCTCTGAGGAAGAGACGACGCTTAGTCTTGAAGTGCGTCGGGTAAAACATTTGCATGACCAAGCTGTCATTATTAACACTATGTCACACTATGTCATTTACCGCCATAATCTATGTATTTTCACTTGTCTTTTTTTAAGATTGTATAAAATAAAATTGAGCATCCTGTTTTAACTGCTGATTTAGTAGTCTATTTACAAATCTGTGCCTTCAAAGTCCCAGCCAGTAGAGGACCTTTCCCCCTTCTTTGTCTATACTTCTAGGGATGTTGGCACCCCTTGTATTGTATCCACCCCTCTCCGTAGGGGCACCTAAGCAGACTCACTCCCGAGTTGCTGCTCTGCATGTCTATTCACACACAGAGCCGCAGCTCGGCCCTGTCCCCTCTTTGTCCTCTTTGGCTCACTGGCTGTGATTGACAGCAATAGGAGCCAACGACTCCCACTGTTGTCTAGGCTAATGAGGAGGGAGAGTCGCATGCACATTGCTGGATCGCGATGTGGCTCAGGTAAGTATTATGGGGAGCTGCTGCACACAGAAGGTTTCTTACCTTCATGCATAGAGTGCATGAGAGTATAAAGCCAAGAGCCTTTACAACCACTTTAAGTCTGATATGGCTTTAACTAGTCTATAATAGCATTCGCCTCCATAGCCATGTTCACATGGCCAATAACTTGAGAGCCCCATGCAGAACTGTATTTTGCTGGCACAGGGATACACAGGTCTTGCATACATCCCTGTGCTGGCAGTCCGTAGGTGTCTATTGGGACATGCAGTTGCACAGACACAGCTGCTGTGTCCCAATGTGACATCCATGAAGGTGAGGTTGGATGGCCCCGAACTCACCCAAGGTGATTTCAGGGACTTGCACAGATGACACATCTGTGGTACTGCCGGCTGGGGATGCACGCAACACCTGTTCTGGTAAAACATGACCCTGCATGGGGCATGCAAGTTATTGGCAGTGCGAACAAGGCCTGTGAAAATATGTTGTAACGGAGATAAGAAGTGGGGGAACTTTGGTGGAAGGGGAAGGAGCCAATCAACCATATTTGTCTCTATGAAGCATTTCTCGACTGACTTGGCAGTAAAGGATCATGGAAATTTGGTGAGCCTTTTATTTGCTTATTGGGCACAGTGCATCAAGGTGGAAGAGTTTGGGACATGTGATGTGTGACACCCGACTTTTTTGGAACTGTTTTTCATTAACTGAGTTTGTACAATGTCACATTTTTGTGTATTATATACAGTATATTATTAATCGGATGGGTTTTTTAACACTGATTTGTGACATGATTGTCTTTTTTAGATTGGTGTTTTCAACATTTATAGTTTTAAGTTTAGATCACTATATACCACAAGATGTTCACCATATCAGCTGTTGGGTCTTTATTTGTATTCTATGATGCTGGTTTACTTATGTATTTGTTTTGTGTAATAAGTAGTTTGGTACTTTTTGTTTGGAGATTTGTTGGTAGTTTTATTTGCAATATGTTTGAAAAACCGCATAATGTAGATCTAAGCCCTAACTATTTATAATTTCCATTTTTAAATCTATTTTTTTGTATCTCCTTGCTCCTGATACTGTCCAGCCCTCTTGAAGCCACTTCCTGTCTAAATGCATTCATTTCAGCATCTGCTGTACATCATTGCTCTGTAGTGGCCTCTTGATGGTGACATGGGTGGACCATACCACATAGCTGCTTGTACACTCCACTGGGTGAAGGGGCGACAAAATAGAGAGAGAGTTGTCACCCTATAACAGGAAGTGCCTAAAAAAGGCAGGATCAACAAGTATTTTATTGAAAACTACAGATTGAAAATAGCTTTTGAAATTAGATTAACATGTAAAATATAACCAATATTTTGGAGATTGGGTTTAAATCTACTTTAAATGGCAATCAGTAGGAAACCTTGAAGCACACTCCCATACTTGCAAAGTGTTATTGGCCATACCAAGAGCTACCATGGCAGATCTGCCATTTTGAAAATACATTTGAAATATTCAGTGACACTTCATACACACTTGCTGTCTTCTTTCTGTTAAGCCCCCACCTCTTTCTTTACAGAGACATTGCAGCTGGTCCAAAACTCTGCCCTGCCATGGCATGGACATTGGTATTCATACAGATCGTTTTTTACCACTGGTTATATAATGTGTTATGTTTGACATGTTCTGGCAAAGGTATTAACAGTTGATCCTCCATGTAGACATTTTCTCTTTGGTGTATGAGGGAGCCATTCAGCTTTTTACATCAGCTGTGACATAACAGGAGAAAGCAAGACTGAACTGCCAATCTGCAACACATTAATATATTTGCATCAGCTATGCTATGATACGTTCACGGAGCTGATTGTGTTGTAGACCCTTACTGGACTGTTTGGCCAAAAAAAAAAAATTAAAAATCCCAAAAAACACAAGGGAAATCTGTACGTTTTTCTGGTTTCATCCTGCACTTCTCAGTCATCCAAACCTCCCACCACCACTAATATTCTCCCCACTACTGTGTACTCTTGTATCAAGATTGCAAGCAAACGTCAATTGGTGAACTCCATTTTATCCAATCATTTTTTACAGACATTGTCACTGGTCCCCTTGCTGTTACCACTCTCCTCACTACAGTGGCAAAGATGGTGCTCTTGTATGAGCTCAGGACCTTAGTAAAGTAATTATTAAATTCCAATTCACTAGTCTCTTCTGCAAGAATGGAATCTGCCACTTCCCTCCTGAATATAGTAGCAGAATTTACAGGCTCTTGCAAGAAGTTACCCATCTTTTGACTTCTCTTAACAGGTCCATCAAACTAAATTTTTTTCTACAATGTATAAGCCATCTGAGATATTTGTTTTCCCTAATGTAGTGCATACAGCTGTAAAAAGTTTGCTTCAATAAAGTTTGCATCTTTTCTAGTGATAAATGCAGTGTTAAAGTGTGGCCTTTTTATGTTCATAGGGTAACAGATCTAGCCGAGGCTCTGGAGGCAGGTGGCTGTGACCTGGAGACTGCAAGAAATATTATTCAAGGACGACCTGTTCCTTCAGATCTCAGGGCAAAAGTGTGGAAGGTAAGCAGTCTGGATACTACTTTTCGTTGTATAAAATCTAGCAGATTTTTTTCTGTCTTGTGATAGGTAAAATATATTCTAATTCTTTTAACGGTTTCAAAATTTGAAAAACCCCTGACATACTTATGTAAATACACAGTGCATAAAATAGAACTTGTTTTAGTAATGGCATAACAGTAGTTTTTGTGGACATGTTTGGTCATAATGTTAATATACATTAGATATACAGGTGAAACTCGAAAAATTAGAATATCGTGCAAAAGTTCATTTATTTCAGTAATGCAACTTAAAAGGTGAAACTAATATATGAGATAGACTCATTACATGCAAAGCAAGATAGTTCAAGCCGAGCTTACCTGAGCCCCCTCTCAATCCAGCGATGTGCCTCAGTTGTCCCGGGTCTCTCTCTTCTCATTGGCTGAGACGCAGGAGCCATTGGCTCCCATTGCTTTCAGTCATCCACTGAGCCAGTGAGGGGAGAGCGTGGGTGGGGCTGAGCAACGGCTCTGTGTCTTATGGACGCATAGAGTGGGGCTCGGAGCAAGCACGCAGCAGTGCCCCCAAAGTAAACAGCTTGCTATTTAGAGCACTGGTGAAGGGGGAGGAGCCAGAAGCACCACCGGGGGACCTGAGAAGAAGCAGAGGATCAGGGCTGCTCTGTTCAAAACCATTGCAAAGAGCAGATAAGTATGATACATGACTAAAACAAACGAAGCTTTAATATCACTTTAAGGTACCTTATCACCTAAAAGAATGCTTTCACCTTTGTGCACTTTTTTTTTTTTCCTCTAAATTCCAGCTCCCCTGTGTACCAATATAGCATTAATGTACTTCCTTTGCTGAAATTCAAAACCTTTATGTCAGTGTCCAGAGGGCTGTATAAAAATAGCTTCTCCGTTACTTCTGCCTTACTTCTTGCGGAGACTTTAGGTCATGACACAGGAAGGAATTGACCAGCTGACCTCATTAGCACACTCCCTACATCATCTATCCTCCTACCTCCCACCCACTTCCAGGTGCATGATTAATAAATGAAATACAATCAGTCAGTGATCACTGTTCTCACTAAATACACAGGCATCGATTTTTTTTTTTTTTTCTACCTTAACTTTCATTTTGCATAGATCATTCATTCGGCAGTATGTGCTGAGAGATCAGATATCGGCCTACAGTTACACGAAAAAGTATGTGAACCCCTTGGGAATACGTGGAGTTTTGCATGAATTGGGCATAAAATGTGCTCTGAACGTCATCTAAGTCACAACAATAGAAGAACACAGTCTGCTGAACATAATACTATATAAACATTAGATGTTGCCATGGTTTAATTGCACATAACATGTAAACATTCACAGTGCAGGGAGGAAAAAGTATATGAACCTTTGGACTTAACTGGTTGACCCTCCTTTGGCAGCAATAACCTCAACCAAACGTTTCCTGTAGTTGCAGATCAGACCTGCACAACGATCTGGAGTAATTTTGGACCACTCCTCTTCACAAAACTGTTTCAGTGTAGCAATATTCTTGGGATGTCTGGTGTGAACATCCAGGTGCTCTTTTGCAAACTTCAAACATGCTGCAATATTCTTTTTGGACAGCAATGGCTTCCTCCGTGGTGTCCTCCCATGTACTCCATTCTTGTTTAATGTTTTCCTTATTGTAGATGTGTCAACAAAAATCTACATCGTAGAATTTTTTGTAATATAACGCAGAGAAGCCGTTGGGTCTAGGAATCTTTTGCGTCTCAAGTGTTTTGATTGCTGCAAGGACCTCTGAGACGGTAATATCAGTCTTCATTTTATCTGGCATAGAGTAGGATAGTCTGGGAAGATGAATGTCATGTAAAAAGACATCTGCCAAGTCCTTGAGAAAAGATTGTGGGCTTTACTATAACGTGGACAAGACTGAAGGAAAGGTATCCACAATTTTGGAGTGGTTGGCTGTAATGACCTTATTGGGTAAGCATAACCTGATCGGTTTGGTATCTTGGGTATGGGCCTTAAGAAGGTTGGCCAGCATCGGGCCTGGTTTGTTGGCACAGGCCATAAATATTATTATTTATGTCGGGATCATCTGAGCTGTTTTTCTGCCTTATCGTGGAGAAGGTTAAGTTCCACCCTAGTAGCTTCCAATTGTTTGCGCAGAGAGACAGAGTGAGACGCCTTAAATTGAGTTTCCAACTGTGTAAGGCGGGAGGACAAAGTTGCCACTCGGGAGACATTCTCCCTCTTCTTGCAGGATGCTAGTTGTATAAGTTTTCCTCTAAGTGTGACTTTGTGAGCTTCCCACAAAATCGTGGGGGATTAAGCCACTACAGTATTGTCAATGAAGTAAGTGGAGATAGAGTCCTGGATGGCTCCCATCCTCTTGTTAAATAACAGGGAGTCGTTAAGGCACCAGGAATAGTGTTGAGGGGCAGAAGTCAGCGATTTTACAGGTAAGTAAAAGTGATGAGTAATCATACCATGGTGTAGAAAGGATCTTGACCTTAACCGTTTCATACAGGGCACTTTTACCCCTTCCTACCGAGGCCATTTTTCAGGTTTCAGCGTTCTCACACTTTGAATGACAATTGCACGGTCATACAACATTGTACCCAAAGTAAAATGTTATCATTTTCTTCACACAACTAGAGCTTTCTTTTGGTGGTATTTAATCACCACTGGGTTTTTTATTTTTTGCTAAATTAACAAAAAAAGACCGAAAATTTGGAAAAAATAACATGTTTTTCTTTGTTTCTGTTATAAAAGTTGGCAAATAAATAATTGTTCTTTATAAATTTAGGCCAAGATGTGTTCTGCTACATGTCTTTGGTGAAAATAACCCAAATTAGGATGTGTTTTTTAATTTGTAGGAAAGTTATAGAGTTCACAAACTATGGTATAGATCTGAATATTGATCAATCCTGAAGTACTGACAGCCAATATAATTTCTTGAGGTCCAAGAATGTCAGAACAGTACAGATATCCTCCAAATGACAGTCCGACGTACTTCATAAGAGGCATGTCAAGTTTTCTGAAGTTGTATTTTTTTTGTCATTTTTTGGAAAATTAAAAAATTAAAAAAATAATTTTCACTATTTTTTTTTTACATACTGTCACCAGTGCAGTACAGCATCATCATATAACTGGCATGGCGGTGATCAGGGACACTGACTGGTGACAGTATGAAATTTAAAAAAAAAATTTTTTTTTTTTTGTATTATTTTTAATTTTTTTTTATATTTTTTTCTTTTTTTTAAGATTTATTTTTTCATATTTCACTATGACCAAAGTAGTACAATGTTACCATAGTAACATTGTACTACTTTGGGGAAGTGATCAGTATTTTTTTTTTTTACACAATTTGCGTTACAGCAAAGAATTACTTTGCTATAAGCAAGCATTTACCTGAATGACATTGATTCATTCAGGGTTTTTTCTTTTTTTGTGCTTAGCTGTGATTTGGCCACGGCTAATCACATGACGCAGCTGGGCTGTGATTGGCCCAGCTTGTGCATGTGATCGCTGTGACCATTCACAGCTAGACACACTAGTATACAATGGATGGCATGAATGAAGCCATCCATTGTATACAACTGTCATGTGACACAGCAGGTCACATGGTACCAGCAACGGGGCCGGTACTCAGATCTGTCATCGGCCGTGTCCGAGGTACACGGCCGGTGACAGATCGCACGGCTCTGCAGACGTGCAAACTGCGCATGCACGAAATGTTGCCATATGGCGTCCACCCGGAACGCTGAGGGATTTTGCCGGCCGCCAATCGGCCATTGGCTGGGCGGCAAGAGGTTAAGGATGTCCAGGATGAAAGTTTGAGGAATGAAAAAATGGTCTGTTCGTTTGTGAGTTAGCTTCTGTAGAGACTTGGGAGAGGCCCACCGAGGGGGATCTGTCTAACTGCCTGTTCAGTACCATATTACTGTCCCCCATCATGATCAGAGTGCCCTTCCTGTGCGAAGAAATTACATTAAGTGAGAAAAAAATTGGGACTGATGAATGTTGGGGGCATAATAGTTAACTATGGTCACTTTAAAGTCTAAGGTTGTCCCCTGTAGTATTAAATAGGGTCTGTGATCTCAAGGGAGCATATGAAGGGAGAGCTTTTATGAAATGCTAAGATGCCTCTCCACTTTTCCTCAAAGGTCGCCTGGAACACCTGGGGGTAGTTTTTTTGTGGAGATATTTGGGGAAGGAGGAAGTGGAAAATCAGGTTTCTTGCAATCATATAACATGGCCTCGATGTGAGGCATAGTAATTAAAGGCACAGTTACATTTCCAGGGGGAGTTAAATCCCTGTACATTATGGGACACCTCAACAAATTTGGAGGTAGCTATCATGGTGGGTAGAATGTAAAGTAGCTAGAAGACACAGTAAAGTTTCAACCCGGCTCAAAAAATATAGTAGACATAGGTGTTTCGACATCCAGAAAAAAATAGGAAAGAAGAGAGGATTGGGAGGAGGGTGCAGTAAGGGAAGGAATAGTAGGCTCAACTGCAGGGGTGTCAAAGACGAAAAAAGAAATCAATGGCGGTGATTGTATGCACTGCCATAGTTGGGGTGTCGCCAAAGCTGACCAGGCGCACATTGTAGTATATGATCAAAAAACATGTTAGACAAAAGTAGCAAAGCTATTGCCTGACCTTAGGGGAAAGGGGGAAGGAAAGGGAGAGAGAAAAAAAAAGGGTGATGGGAATGAGGGGAAAAAAGCACATGAATAGCAAAACACACTTATGTGTGTACTCGTAAGCAGGTACAGATAGTACCAATGAAAATAATGTGAGAGGTTGCTGCCCATCCAAGTGGGGCCAAAGGCAATATAGTTAGCAGGGTCCAACACCCATGATCTAGAGTAACCTAGTGGTTGAAGTCTTAAGTTGGCTGAGTTGTGAGAACCTACAGCCCAGCCCCTATGAAGTGGGACAAATAGAAGATTGTGAAACACTAGAAGGTCTCCAAGGATGGCAGCGAGCGCTCAGAAGTAAATAAAAAAACACAGT